GTCCTCCTATTCCCAGATTAGCGCCCAAATGGGGACAATAGGCGCTCAATACGTGTGCCTTACCCGAGGCGCCCCTAAACGCCACCAACTGTTGGCCACACATTTCAAACGCTTTGACGCCATTGAGGGGCAAGTCGTGGGACGACATTATTATATACCATGTATTCGGGTATTCAATGGTTCGCCACTCATTATCATCAACTTCTTCGCCATCGCGTTTCCACGGCGTCTAATGTGTTGACATATAATACATATAATAGTATTAAAATGAGATTCAGTTATGAATAATATAGTAATAAATACAAGATTATCATCGTCTTCATCAAACAATAGCCGGTATATGACATAAAATGCCAAACTATACAGAATATAGTCGTACATAACTGTTAGGTTTTATTGATGATGTGTTTTGTGGAGGAAATGTGGTTTTCAACACAGATTTACCATTTTCACTAATGTTTGAGGAAAAAGTAATTCATTTTAGCTGTAATGTGATATATTTTTTTCTTTTACATTCGCGATTCATATTGATTTACACACATTTAGACATTTTTTAAGAAAATTTATTTGTAAAGAAAAGTATTTATTTAATATATTTTAAAAAATAAAATCGTCTCTTCATTAAAAATATTTAAATATTAATAATATGCAAACATTTATACTAATCCTTAAAACCATAATATTAAAATTAATTATTTATTTTATTAAAAGTTATAAATATAAGATTCTTCTAACATTAAGAAAATTCATTTATATTTATAATTACAAATAACTAATACTGTACTTATTGAAAAATACAAATATAACATTAATGAGTTATATTATCACACACTTAACAATATTTACTGGTATATACAATAATTGGAGTAAAATAATAAATATATTATTATTTTTCCATATTTTTAACAATATGTGGATCAACACGAAGAATGGGTTGAAACAGAGCCGGTAGTCATCGGGGATGTCGTTGGTGTTCGTGCAGTCAATGCCTGGGCCGTTGGCGTGACGGTCGAGCACTGAGGGGTCGGGATGTTTGCACACCCACAACACCATATGCTGCACAAACTTTGAGGCTTTTAGGTATTTGTATGGTTTGAATACAGTTTCCACCTGAAAGTCATAATTAGGTGATTTCTATTTACTAAAGTAAGTTATTATAGTTTTTACAAATTATTGTTTAATAATCTGTCAAATGATATGTGATTGTATGACATGTATTTGAGTGTTACCTTGACCACATGTTTTTTATCGGGGAAATCAACTTTTTCTATTTTACACCAATTGAATGTTTTAGTCTTTAGGTTTATCTGTATTAAAAATAAAGTTTGTTTACTTTTATTTTATTAACATAATAATTTTTAAATATAATGCTACCAACTTTAGCTAGCACATCCTTAGACCTTAATTTGCCACTAGTTTGACTAATAAATAATATTAAAATAGTATTTATAACAATTAGAATTTTTAATATTCTCAATATAACATGCATGTTTGATTTTTAACTTAACTTAATAATTAATGATAATTTTATGTAAAAAATAATTAGTCAAATACGGTTTTGTATGAAAAGTAAACACACGTTTAGAAATTAAATTATTATTTTATTATTAAATTTATTTTATAAAATTAAAATTGAGATATCGATAAATGTGATTTCATCGTAATGTAAAACATTATAAATATTGATAAGATTCTGTAATAGCGTTGTACTCGCAGTTTGAGGTAATATTTCAGAAAAAATAGTTAATAAATTTATTTAATTCAAAATTGGCTCTAATTGTGAACATATCCTCCAACAGCTGCCAAAGACAGCACTCTTTGGGAAACTGATTGTCAACCAAATTGACTAAATAGTAGTTGTCGTGGATGTCGTCCAACACCTTTCTGGACAGACTGTCCCCTGAGTACAGTTGCGCCCATTTCTGTGTCCAGAGTCCAAACGCCTCGTCTTTCCATACTTTGAATGAAATCGGGTCCACAACTGTTGGCTATTGAGTTATAATTCAACAAAAACAATGTCAGAAATTATTTCATTCATATTTCTTATTTTATAGATACCTGGATAATCTCCCTGCCCGGAAATACACCCCACGTCACTGCTATAGCTTTATTACTTTCAAAATTGGAGTACGATTTTTTGCCCTAAAATAATTAGTAAGTCATAAAAGTGATTAATAAGTGATCATAAGTAAATATGATGAGCGCATACACTACTGTCCACTATTTGATAGTTGACGAGCGGGTAGTTCTTAAGCGCTTCCATGAGTGCCAACACATTCTTCTCATTCGTAAAGAACTCGAGGTATGCCTACAAACAGTACACCAATTAATATGATTATTGATTATTTTCAATACACCATTTATATCACCTTTTGGTAGATATAGCCGCCTTTAGGACCCCAACCATGTATAGGGTGTGTGGAGTCGACACCATTGACGTTAGGCTGGGAGCAGATGGTGAGAACACCCCTCTTATTATACTGAGACAACTGTTTGACCAGAAGCGCCGTCTCATCACTCAAGGCATCCATATTCCATGGGATGACTGAAACCTTTTTGTCGTTTTTATTCTTAAGGCCCGACACATAGCAGTGAAAGACATCCCACACGTCCTGTTCGCCCGTCAGCTCCTGTCCCCACATTTGCAGCAACTCTTTGCGACTCAGCTTTGGCTCCAAAAACAGGTAATAGTTTTCGAGGGTTTGAAAGGCGGGTGAATCCACGCGACCCCACCTGCCATTTGGGAACTCATCCCACGACTGGGTGCGACACACGTAACTCCTGGGCCTCCCGGACCAGTATATGGGTCGCACGTCTTCACCGGCGCGCTTGTGATTGGCCGCCGGCCACCAGGGAAGCGGTTTGGATACCTGGGTCAACAGACCCAGCTGTTTGAGTATAGCACAGGTAGCCATCTCTCTATTGAGCGTATAAAAGTGTAGGCCAGGGGTGACATTAGCGGCCAATATCTGTCGACACAAACCCACCGCCCATTGGATGCCGTAATTCCTGACCGCCTCGTCATTACTGCGGATAATATTTAAATCCTTGAGTATAGTGTCCGGGATATCCAGTTTGGACAGTCGCACGATCTTCTCGAGGGACTCGTAGCTCTGGATCGGCATAATTCCGGCCAAAATGGGCACTTCTATACCGATTTTGCGACAGTTTTTCACGTATTTCACGAACAGATCCGACTTGAAAAACAGCTGAGTTATGATGAAGTCGGCGCCGGCGTCCACTTTCTCCTTCAGACGCTGCAGATCCTCTTCAACGGACACCGACTCGGGATGAGCGCCGGGATATCCGGCCACAGCTATCGTAAAATAGTCGCCATATTCGCGACGGATATAACGGACCAAATCGACGGCGTATCTGAAGTCTACCTTTTCTTGAGACTCGGTGCTATCGATGGCCACCCGATCCCCTCTTAGGGCCAGTATATTACGAATACCCAAGTCTTTAGCCCTTTCCAAATGGCGTCTGAGGTCGGGCTCAGTCATGCCGACGCACGTGATGTGAAGCATAGTGTCTAACCCGCTGTAGTTAAGGGCGACGCCGGCGATGGTGATGCTGGAGGTCTCGGTGTCGGCGCCGGGATTGCCGGCCGTATGCCACGTGATGTCACAAAACATGGGTCCCGTCTGCCGGAGCCGATCGAACCGTGCGATCAAATTGATGGCCGCCTCCCGTGTTTTGGGCGGAAAAAACTCAAACGAAAAGAACGGTCCGTTTCCGTCGCTCATCCGTTGCCGCATACGTGCGATGAGTGGGACGTACGGCGCCTGAGAGGCCGATGTCTTCCTAACCGCCCCATTGCTGACCACCCGTTCCCCGTTTAGTTTGTCCGTCAGTTTTTCGCTTTCAATCATTTTGTGTCTCGAAATCTATGAGTATATGAAACTTGTCTTAAAAATCACGACTAATTATAGCGAAGTGTTTGACAGAAATAAAACTTTTTCACGAAAAGTGCACTTTTATCCAAATATGTTGTCAACTGTTTTTGAGATTAAAGTTCCGTCACTCTGTAGTACAGTGTCTTTATTAATACCCTCCCTTTCAATGATAATAGCTATTGATTGAAAGTACTAAACTTAGTAATACTCTATTTAAGGGTACTTTCCTCCCAGTGCTCATTCGTATCTAAATTTATTTAGATTATTCTCGAGATTATTTAACATTTTCCGTTCACTTATTGCAGTTCAATGTCATTGTATTTAGGAACTTATTTGTCACTGTTATTGTATCGTATATTCACAAATGTTTGAAACAATAAAATGTTCAGTGTCATAGAAACTTTTTATTTGATACTGTATACAGTATAAATATTATTTGATGTACTGGTTATTTATATAGCATTCTATTATAGAAATTTAGTTTATGTTAGTTATTATAATTTGTATTATAATTAATTGCTAAATACATGTGTATTTTTATTCACAATAAAAGTATAATGTTGTATATGTAGCTAATGAAATATAACTATTGAGATGGTTTAGTATAAAATATAATATTTATTTGGAAAATTGAATTAAGATATTACATTAAATATTAAAATGACAAACTGTACCGTTCCGTAGATTTAAATCTATAAAATAAAACACATTTTATAAAAAATTTATTTTAACGACTAAATGATATTATTCAGCGTTTCGTGATCTAGTATTACACTAAAATATGTACTCAAATAGATTATAAGTTTAAATTACTTTAAAACTGTTGTAACTTGTAGGTTTTGTACAGATAGTGCATTCATATAACACTGTATACTTTGTATAGTACCCGGAGCACTCAACTTACGTGTAATTATTTAAAAAGCACACACTTTATCAAAAATATATGCTGTATTAATTATAATATCAACTAATCTAAATGGTGTGATAATCAATAAATTATAAATAGTGATAAATATGTGACTTGTATGTAAACACTGAGCAAGGTACCGTCAGTGCAGCTCAATAGACATGCTTATAATGACTGATAAAAACAAAGAGACATTTTTGTGAGAATATTCTGGTGTAAAGTGAAGTTAACAACTTGTTTCAGGTTTCAAAAACTGGTTTTCAAACAAAGTATTATGTAATCTCATAAAATGGTGAGAAGTTTGTAAAACTTTTGCTTTTGTATTACCGGTACTTTTGTAGGCTTATACAGTAATAATGAGTGCCTTTCAAAACATATTTGCAGAGAAATTGTTTTTCATTATTACTTGCTAGTTAGTTTTTATTTAATTATATTTAATATAAAATTTAAATGAGAATGAAACTTTTATTGTTATTTAAGGCACTAATACCATAGATCATGTAATATGATTCATGCTACTTCATCGTATGATTTTGAAATTAAAATATATTAAAAAATTTTTATCCAAAAGTCAATAGTAGATAATATGATACTATTTTAGGTTGCAAAAGTTATATCATAACTACAGTGTATTATACAGTATATACAAACTAATTTTAATCTTATTTTAGTTTAAATATAAATATTGCAAACTAAACATTATGAAGCTATTGAACACTACTTATGCAAAATATTAGTCAGTTATAAAAATACCATTATAAATCATTATTATGACAAATAAATATTTTTCAAATACGTATATTTCAGCACAATTAATTATAAACTAAAGGTAAGTTTAAACAATTAGTCCGGATACTAAAGTTTGATAAAATTATATATTAATAGAGTAGCAAAATAAAAGGCCTAATTGTTGCGCGAGGCCAATATTAATAGCGTTAACAAGTTTAGTTTTCGGTTTCCATTAATAAATAGCTAACCATTTGTTTCTAATTTAGTGATGAATGCAACCAAAAAATGATAGTTTTGTAAATAAAATCCAATTCTCTAATACTGTCGTAATGTTGTTAAAAGTTGTTGAACTTTTGCGATATATACGGAATCATTTAGATCCAGTTTACCATAAAAATTATATTTTCATTTACCCAAAACTCAATGTTTGAATGTGAATCTCGAACAATTAGGCGCAACAATTAGGCCTTTTATTTTGCTCTATATATTAATTAAAGGTTAAAATTTTAACAATCATTCATTTACTAACCTGGTCCCCTTTTATTAACTATTTTTAAAATTCACAATATATAAAAATTATTAAATGTTATGATTCTCAAACAATTATATATCATTTTACTATAATTTAGAAATTAATCGTAAGAATAACTTTTTGGAAGTCAATTGAAATGTTTTAAATGATTACTGTATAGAAAAATATACAATTTTAGTGAAGTTTCATTTCAATACTGGAACTATGTTCAAACTTTTGCCAACTATTAAACACCTATTTCATATTATTTTATTTATAAATTTTATTATATTTTCTCTGTGGATATGCGGCCTCTTCAAGACTTTCCCTCATAATGAGTCCCAAAATCTATTAATCAAATCTGTTATTATTTGTCTTCAAATATTATCTCTACTATCATTACCACAATATTTGTTTCAATTTCTGGGTCTTATTCTGTACAACAGTTTCACAGACTCCGTGGCCCTCAAGTATGACCCCATGACCGCACCATTCATATGCTTCCGAGTGGTCACACGTGGAGACTATCGACAATTGGTTCACAATAATGTCAGAAAGCATTTGAAAGTGTGTTCAGCATTGGGTCTCCGAAATTATATCATAGAAGTTGTCACCGAAAAGGGTTTAGGTTTAGATAACTATAATCATCCAAAAGTCATTGAAACCATAATTCCTATTGAATATGAACCCAAAAATGGAGCCATTTTTAAAGTAATAATTAAACAAATAATTTATCTTGGATGATTTAAATGAAAGTTTTTCAAATTATAAGTATTCTTGTTATTAACCAAATGTTTGGTTTGAAGGCACGGGCTCTTGAGTACTGTCTGGAGGACAGTCACAATCGATTGGCGGACAACGACTGGATCGTCCACTTGGACGAGGAGACAGTGATGACTGAGGCGTCCGTCTGCGGTATTGTGAACTTCGTGTGCTTGGGCACCCATGACTTTGGACAGGGACTCATCACATACGCCTAGCAACGCATAGTCAACATATGGACCACTCTTATGGACTTGTCTCGAGTGGCCGACGATTTGGGAAAAATCCGCTTTCAATTCAAATGCTTTCATAAACCTGTGTTTAGTTGGAAAGGTATGTCAACTGACAATCTTTGGCGTAAAAGTAATTTATTTCGTCCTAAAAAAGGCTCATATTTTGTGTGTCGAGTGAAGGCCGAGCGCAGCCTATCCTTCGACCACGGGTTGGAGGGCTCGATAGCCGAGGACTGCTATTTCGCGGTCAACGCCTACCGGTGCGGCCATACGTTTGACTGGATTGAGGGCCAGATGTGGGAAGAGTCGCCGTTCACTGTCAGCGACTTCATTGAGCAAAGGAAACGCTGGATGCAAGGCATACATCTGGTGGTGCACTCGCCTAACCTGCCCCTGAGGTACAAACTGTTTGTGGCCATGTCTCACTATGCCTGGGTCACATCCATACTTCATAAAACATTGTTTGTTGTCCTTTATTTGAAGCCCCATTACTCTAATTATTGGATGTCTGTGTTGAATGCGTTTGTAAATGCAGTCATTTTTTATACGTTTATTTTCGGTTCTTTAAAGTCGTTTAGTGTCCAGAAAATAGGTGTCAAACGCTATTTGTTATATGTTTTGGGCTCTATATTAGCTGCACCTATGAGTCTCATTGTTGAGACAATAGCAGTGTTTTTAGGTTTTACCACAAATAAGTATATGTTTTATATAGTTAAAAAACAAATGTAACCCTGCTGAAGCAAATTAAAGAATTCATAATTATCGCAATGCTGTATATTGCAATTAATAAGTTATATTTATATTATTTTAAGTTATTAGCATTGTAAAACATACTGTAATTATAGCAGTTTAATTGATAACTACGGTATTTAAAGCACAAATGGTGAGCAAACTCTATATTTGTTGATTATAGTCTTTAAGACCAACTGAGATGTCATATACAATGGGACCAAATACACGGTATCCATGAGTTTGATGAATAGCCGGATTCCGGTGGATGTTTCTCAATAGTTCCTAAATTGAGGTATAGGTCTGCATTCAAACCACTTGTTTTGATTACAATCGCCCCAATCGTCTGAATGGGCCACGAAATCAAATGGACTCAACTGTCCCGTCATCAGCTGCGGTAGGAATAGCTGTTTGGAAAAGTCCGGTAACTTCTGGTACTGTGTGGGCAAATATCGTAATTTAGGACCTTGGTATTTATGATCGGGTTCACTATTAATTATTAAATTTTTTAAATAGGTAACGACCACTACATGTTAGCACATTACTAATTAAATGATTACATTGTGAGAAACATTTAAAGAATAATATGATTTATATTTAAATGATAATACAATATATGTAGTATATATATGTAGTATATATATGTATATATATGTAGTAATATAATGTAGTATAATTTTAAAAATTAATTTATTAAACAGTAGTAAATATAAAACTCAAATAAACTAAATTGATAATAAATTAATGCCCTAGGTTAAACTATTTTAAATAATACTCTACATTGTATAAATGATGTCTTAAAACATTTGTAAAAACATTTTACTTATATTGGAAAACTATTTATACTGAGAAAAATATTTAACATACAACATGTCATTCTTAACAAATTTGAATTTTATATATACAGGGTATTTTTGAAAAATAATTTAAAATAGTATAAAAATTAAGAGAATATTATAACATTACACTAACAGATATGAATTGAATTAAAATTCTTATTGAAACATTATATAAACTTCAATTGCAATAATATTGACCCAGACACTTATGTGTTTTTATTGAAAACCAACATTTGAAGTTTATTAAAATGATCCCTTTCCCCTACCTATCCCAACCTATGAGACCAATAAACCAATAGATTTGCACGTGCAACAATCAATTCAAATAATAAATTAATTAAATAAATAAAAATCCGTTAAGGCGTCATCCATAAAGTACGTACGCAAAAATTTGGTCAAAAATTGACCCCCCCTCCCCCCTACACGCCCATCGTACATAGGAGTTTAACATGGGGACATACGCTTTGGCATGACCCCTCCCCTCCCCCC